CTCTAATATTTGTCCATCACTTAGAAGTTATAAAACTGTATACAGTATGTGCTGAGAATTATAGCCATAAATGTCAAAACATAGTGTCTTTTGGAACAGGTCTGATCTAATTAATAATGGTATCTTGTAATTACTGACTAAAATAATTAATCAAGCAATTGTTTCATATGCTGTATAAAAGTCATTAATATCTAGCAGCTAATGGGATAAGATCGTGTGATATTAAAATAAATATTTAAAAATTCTTTCTCAATTGTGTTTTCAGAATTCCTTATGGCATTCCAGTGTGATGCTGTGGCCGAAAGGGCTAATGCAAGCCTTATATGTGTTGAGAGTTGAATCTGGAATAAGAGGAGGGAGGTTGTGTTATCTCTGTATTTGGCACTGGTCTGATTGCTACTGGAATAGTGTCTCCAGGTCTGGTGTTGTAAAATCAAGAAAGATGTTGATAAATTGAAGAGGGTTCAGAGAAGAGCCACAAGAATGATTAAAAGATAGGAAAACATGCCTTATAGCAGGGGTTCTCAAACTGGGGGTCGGGACCCCTTGGGGGTTACGAGGTTATTACATGTGGGGGAGGGGTCACAAGCTGTCAGCCTCCACCCCAAACCCCGCTTTGCCTCCCACACTTATAATGGTGTTAAATATATTAAAGAAGTGTTTTTAATTAAAAAAGGGGGGGGTCACACTCAGAGGTTTGCTATGTGAAAGGGGTCACCAGTAAAAAAAGTTTGAGAACCATTGCCTTATAGTGGAACGAATCCAGAAGCTCAGTCTGTTTAACTTAACCAAGATAAGTACCTAAATGGTGAACAAAACTTTGGTAATGAGCTCTTCAATCTAGCAGACAAAAGTATAACAAGCTCCAATGGCTTGGAAGTTGGACGTTTGACAAATTCAGGCTAGAAATAAGGCATACATTTTTAACTGTGAGGGTTATTAACCATATGCACATCAGATTGCTAGTTAGTAGAGATTGCTACTCTTCAGGAATAGTACCCTATGATTGGAGAATAGCTAACATCAGACCTGTGTTTTAAGAAAGGGGGGGAGTTACCTGGGCAATTACAAACCTGTTAGTCTGATCTCAATAGTACGGAAGACTGTGGAACACATGATGAAAGAAAAAGAAAAAACTAATGGAGGTAAACGGCAAAGGGAATGTAATGCACCATGGGAACATGGGTTTACCAAGGGTAGATTGTGCCAGACTAACCTGATTTCCTTCTTTGAGAAAATAACTGATTGGGGTTTTTTTAGGGAAAATGCAATAATATACTTTGACTTTAAGAAAGCACTTGACATGGTACCAAATAGCAAATTATTAGTTAAATTAGAGAAGATGGGGATTAGCACAAGAACTATAGGTACATAGGGAACTGGGTAATGGAGAGAAGGCAAGGGGTGGTGCTGAAAAGTGGAGGGAGGTTACTAGTGGAGGGTTTCAGATTGGAGGGAGGTTACTAGTTGAGTTCCTCAAGATCTTTTTTGGGATTAGTTTTAGTCAATATTTTTATTATTGACCTTGGCACAAAAAGTAGGAGTGTGCCAATGAAATTTGCTGATACAAAGTTGGGAGTTATTAATACAGAGGAGGATCAAAATATTATACAGAAATATCTGGCAGACCTTGAAGATTGGAATGACGGGATTAAAGTCAATGGTAATAGTGTAAGGTCATGCACTACGGTCTAATAATAAGTTCTGCTACAAGCTGTGGTCTCCTCAGTTGGAAATGATAGAGGAAGAGAGAGACCAGGGTGTGTGGGTTCATCACAGGATGATGATGATGAGCTACCAATGTGATGAAGCTGTGAAAAAGGCAAATGCGATCCTAGGATGTATCAGGTGAGGAATTTCCAATAGAGATAAAGAAGTATTAATGCCATTGTTTAGGGCAGGGGTCGGCAACCTTTCAAAAGTGGTGTGCTGAGTCTTCATTTATTCTCTCTAATTTAAGGTTTCGCGTGCCGGTAATACATTTTAACGTTTTTAGAAGGTCTCTCTCTATAAGTCTATAAACTATTGTTGTATGTAAAGTAAACAAGTTTTTTAAAATGTTTAAGAAGCTTCATTTAAAATTAAATTAAAATGCAGATCTTATCAGTTTAGTGCAGTGGTTTTTAACCTGGGGTGCACGCACCCCCTGGGGCAGGGCCAGTGCAAGGATATTTTGCGCCTTAGGCGAAACTTCCACCTCCCCTCCCCTTGGTTCATTGAGGGGCAAATCCCAACGAGTCTTTATAGACCCCAGCAGCCAGCCGTGTCCAGGGGCTGCTCCCCAGACCAGGTTCCCCGCCCCGTGAACTCCCCTAGAGGGTGCACAGCCCCCCCTGCGAGCCCTGCCCACCCCACCCCGGCGGCCCCCGCCCCAAGTCCACTCGCTGGCTTTGCTGGGCTTGGGCCGCTGCAGCAGCTCGGCAGGGAGGAGCCGCCTTCCGGAGGCACCGTAGAGCCAGAGTGTCCCACTAGCGGGGAGCTGCCATGCCCCTCCTGCGCAGGCTGCAGCCGCCCCCCCCCCCCCCGGGGCTCCTGCAGGCTGCGGCAAATGCATGCGGGCGCCAGCCCCCATGCGCCCCCCTAGCTTCCCCCTCACCTAGGGTTACCATATTTCAACAATCAAAAGAGAGGATGGGGGGGGAACCCCGCCTCCATCCACTCCCTCCCACCTCCTGACGGCCCCCCTCAGAACTTCCAAACCCCCCCTGCTCCTTGTCCCCTGACTGCACCCAGCGCCCCACCTCCTACCTAAGCCTCCCTGTTCCTTGTCCCCTGACTGCCCCGACCCTTATCCACACCCCGACAGGGACTCCCACGCCCCATCCAACTACTCCCCGCCCTCTGACAGGATCCCCAGAACTCCCAACCCTTCCAACCCTCCCCATGCTCCCTGACTGCCCCCCAGGACTCCCCTTACCATGCCCATGCCAGTCAGACGCTGGCTCCACGTGGAGGAAAAACACGCTGCCACGCGCACAGCCCTTCCCCCGCAGAGTGCTCAGGCAGTGCGAGGGGGGGAGCTCCGGGAGGGGCAGCGGCAGGGGCTCAGACTTCCGGGAGCCGCAGAACCTGAGCGCGGTGAGGGGGAAGCTGGGGGGTGCACCTGCCCGGACTGCGGCCCAGTGCCCCCCCCCCCCCCCCCGGGGGGGGGCCCCCGCAGCGGTTGCATGCGGGCAGTGGTCCCCGGGTCCCCCCTCGCCACGCTTGGGCTCTGCGGCTCCCGGGCATGTGAGCCGCTGCTGCCACCGCCCCTCCCGGAGCAGGTTCAGGGCCCCGCGCCCCGGCAGCGGCTCACACACCCGGGAGCCGCAGAGCCCGAGTGCGGTGAGAGGGGAGCCAGGGGGCGCGCCTGCTGCCTGTCTGGGGTCCCGGTCACCGGCCCCACTCAGCCTCCTGCCGGCCTGGGGTTCTGTTCACTTAGCTGGCAGCGGGCTGAGCGGCGCCGGCGGCCGGGACCCTGGCTGGCAGCCGTATGCCAGGCAAAATCAGCTCGCGTGCCGCAGGTTGCCGACCCCTGGTATAGAGCACTGGTAAGATCTCATGTGGAATACTATGTACAGTTCTGGTCACCCATCTTTAAGAAAGATGAATTCAAACTGGAACAGGTGCAGAGAATAGCTACGAGAATGATCAGGAGAATAGGTTCTATTTTATGAGAGGAGACTGGAAGAGGTTGGCTTGTTTAGCCCAGTGATTCTCAACCTTTCTAGACTACTGTACCCCTTTCAGGAGTCTGATTTGTCGTGCATACCCCAAGTTTCACCACATTTAAAAACTATTTTCTTACAAAATCAGACATAAAAATACAAAAATGTGGCAGCACACTATTACTGAAAAAGTGCTTATTTTTCTCATTTTTACCATATAATTATAAAATAAATCAACTGGAATATAAATATTGTACTTACATTTCAGTGTATAGTGTGTATATAGAGCAGTATAAACAAGTAATTGTGTGTATGAATTTTAATTTTTACTGACTTTGCTAATATTTTTTATGTAGCCTGCTGTAAAACTAGGCAAATATCTAGATGAGTTGATGTACCTCCTCCAGTGTGTTCTGGGGTGTGGTTTTTGCTGGTCTTCCTCTGAAGCAAAAGGCTGGAAATCGGACACTGGATGGGGTGGAGCAGTGCTCTGAGGGGGTACCGAGCATGCTTCGCTGGCTGGTTCTTGCTCACATGATCAGGGCCTAACTGATCACCATATGTGGGGTCAGGAAGGAATGCTTCTCCCGATAAAATTGGCAGTGACCTTGGAGGTTTTTCACCTTCCTCTGCAGCATAGGGTGACCAGATAGCAACTGTGGAAAAAATGGGACGGGGTGGAGGGTAATAGGCGCCTATATAAGAAAAAGTCCCAAAAAACAGGACTGTCCCTTTAAAAACGGGACATCTGGTCACCCTACTGCAGCATGAAGTGCAGGTCACTTGCTGGGATTATCTGGGTATGTCTCTCTTCATGAATTCCCTGATACTGATGTCAGTTATTGATGCATCTTGATCCCTCCTGTCCCTCTGCTTGTGACACATAATAGTTTAGTTTCCTGTGGGCTATAATACTTTGGTCTAATTTTGGTTGTTGGGTTTAGTATACAGGTCCTGGGTGGTGGTGGTGGCCTGTAATATGCAAAAGGTCAGATTAGATGATCTGATGGTCCCTTCTGGCCTTAAACTTTTACTCTGTGACATTGGAACAACTTGCCAAGGGTTGTGACAATTTTCCATCACTGGCAATTTAAAAAAAAAATTTGCCCTTTTTTTTTTTTTTTTTTTTTTTTTTTTTAAATGCTATAGTTCAAATTAATTAATTCAGGGAGGTCCTACAGTCTGTTTTTATACAAAAGGTCTTATCTATGTAATAGTCATTTTCAAAGTCACCTGCTTTCTTGCCTTCCACTAAACTAAAGACATTGTGTGGTTACAAAGGTTATTGAAGCATTTAGCATCTCACTCAGTTTTATGCTCTGGGGGTTGATTAGACTGCTTTTGTTTCCATAGGTACCTCAACACACAGTTTATTAAGAAGAACAAATTAACTGAAGCTGATCTTCAGTATGGCTATGGAGGTGTGGATATAAGTGAACCACTGATGGAAATAGGAGAGGTAAGTACCTCTGAAAGTAGATGTAAGAGGTAACCATAAACTGTACATAAAAACAGATCTTATAATTCAACTGTATTCTTTTAAATGTTGATTTTTAAAATTTAAAATTGTGTACAACCTAAAAATATATAGCTTGACTTTCAGTGGGAGTATTGAGCACCTTGGAAAATCAAGTTAAAAAGTTTTATAGAGGACTTGTCGGTTCCTTATCTGAAAAGCAAAATTAAATAAGGTACAACCTGGGGGTGGGAGAAACACATGTAGGTGTGGATCTGTGTAAATATTGTTGATAAAGCAGATCTGGGATTTGTCAAACAAAAGAATTGAGAATGGAAACAAATATTGGGAAGGATGTTAATTCCTGCCCAAATCTCGCTTCAGTTTGGATTTTTAAACTGCATTTCCTATGGGATAAGTTTTCTGTGATGTTTGTATCTTTACAGCTAGCACTTGATATGTGGAGAAAATTAATGATTGAGCCACTGCAGGCCATCCTCATTCGAATGCTCCTCCGAGAAATCAAAAAGTGAGTGCTTGTTTGTTTTCTATTAGTTACAGTGTTTTTAATCTAGTCTAAATTTTTTTTTTTTTTTTGTAATTGTTTGCAGGAGAGGCCTGTGAATTCATTGGACTTCAGCTAAGCTGCTTTCTTATTTTAGTATAAACCAACTCTGACCGTGCTGCTATTACCTCATTAATGTGCCAAAAGCTTTAGTTGTCGAAAATATAAACACTTCTGTTGCGATTTACTTGTGCAGAAAGAGAACCCGAGTTGAAAAATTTAATTCTCTATAGTTAGGCCTGGAAGAATTCGATTATTACTATTTATTTGAAATTCAGTTAATATCAATTTTTATTTTTAAGCTTTTTTTTATTTATTTTTTTCCTATTTAAATAAATTTCCATTTCACACTGGGGTTACAGGGGGCTACCTGTGTGGATACAGGACTGATGACACTGGATCCCTGCAGCTGTGAGATGTGCAGAAAGCTGTCATCTTGGCAGTGCAGAGCAGAAGCTCCTGGGGGAGGCCACCCCCTTGCTGCATGGCTTCTGCCTGGGGATGGCCCCCACACTCCCAGCTGGTGTGTGAGTGAATGGGACCATGATAGTGGGGCTGCAGAGAGTTCCCTGTGCGGCTATGGGGCTGGATTCCTGTAGGCACAAAGTAGGTGGGACGACTTATGAGGAGAGGCTGAGGGAGCTGGGATTATTTAGTCTGCAGAAGAGAAGAATGAGGGGAGATTTGATAGCTGCTTTCAACTGCTTGAAAGGGGTTCCAAAGAGGATAGATCTAGACTGTTGTCAGTGGTACCAGATGACAGAACAAGGAGTAATGGTCTCAAGTTGCAGTAGGGGAGGTTTAGGTTGGATATTAGGAAAAACTTTTTCACTAGGAGGGCGGTGAAGCACTGGAATGGGTTACCTAGGTAGGTGATGGAATCTCCTTCCTTAAAGGTTTTAAGGTCAGGCTTGACAAAGCCCTGGCTGGGATGATTTAGTTGGGGATTGGTCCTGCTTTGAGCAGGGGGTTGGACTAGATGACCTCCTGAGGTCCCTTCCAACCCTGATATTCTATGATTCTATGATTCTATGATCGTGCTTGCCAACTGTTACCAATGGATATTTTTTTTCCATCTGTTTCAATGTGTCAGGTGAAATAGATGTTTACTAAGGACTAACAGTTCAAATCAAATCCTGCCAAGCCTAACTATAATCCAGAGGGAATGTTCTTTAGTACCTAAGACTTGAGACTAGAACTCTTGTTTCTCATCCTACTTCTAATGCTGAATTGAAGAGAAACCTTGAGCTAGACACAGTGTTTGTGTTTCCCTTTATATATCTGGTTGGGGATTTTTACCTACTGCACATAAGGAAGTGTGTTGTGAAAGTTAATATTTCTATACTGGTTGAATATAGTGAAATGAAGCACTTTGTAATTGCTTTATAGCATACTCGTAATGATTCATGTTTCATTTCTACTCCTTTCAACTGGATTTTATGAAAATGTGTTAAGGACTGATATTACATCCTTCTGAAACATTACTTCCGAAGCCTGTAATATACCTAATAATGTTTAGAGCTGCCTAAGACCACTTCTTTTGGAGCCAATGTGGACAGTGATTCAAGGATAAATTGGGTGTTAAGTAATGATAATAATATCTTAACTCTTTTGAGTCTGGTGAACAAGGGACATAAGCATATACCACTTAGCAATGCAGAAGTTTGTTTAGTTATACTAAGAACAAGCGGCCTGGATTCTCATCTTGACTATTTATTAGCTGACCTAAATGTTAATTATACTACTGAGACAGAGGGCCTGATCAATGAAAATTAGGTATTTTGTAGGAAAAGGATGCTGACACGCTTATTAGAGAGGGCTATTTATTGTCAACCATGAAGCAAAACTTTCAATATCTATGAAAATGATCACATTCCTTCACTGTGGAGAGTTAGCTGATTATGGGCCTGATCCAAAGACTGATTCAGTCAATGGAATGACTCCAATTGATTTCAGTGGGCTTTTGATCAGAGCCTATAAGAGAGTGGGGCTGATTGATTTTTTTTTTTTTTTTTTTTTAAGAAACTTTGAAAGTGGTAAAAACTGTGTGCCTGTAGGGCTCTAAGCAGCATTATCGTCAATGGCTAGACCTGATTTCTCTTTTCTGCTCTGCCACAGGCACTGCTGTATGACTGGAGCAAGTAATTTCACATCTGTTCCTTAGTTTCTCCATCTGTAAAATAAGGCAAATGACTTTCCTTTCTAAAGCAATTTATAATCTATGCATGATGAAATGCACTATACAAGCAAGAACTGATCCTTATTGTTACAAAAAATTATTTCTTTCAAGTATCGGACAATATAGTGCTTGCTGTCAAACCTTTACAATTTTGCCTTTGCTGAACTAACATTACAGTAGAATTTGTGCTATCTTCCGTGATTAGTACAAGCAATATTGCCAGCAATTAGTATTATGGCAAAGAACAATTGTGAAGATTTTAGTGGCAACTGCAGTAGCTGTTGTTTAGAATCAAATTTAGCAGTGCAGGGATTGCACAATATCTTTGTAGGAAGAAAAAGTATTAAATCGCATCTCATACGGAAATATCTGAAGTAACAAATATTACATGAAGTGGATGGAACATTGAACTACATAAAAAACTAAATTATATGCACACTTCTCATATACAGTACTCGGTATGCAAGTCTGTACATAAAAGTAAATTCTGCTTCATGCAATTATTTGTACATGTTTTGTGTTTTTTAAAAAGCATATCAGTAAGTAGAAGGGGAGTTATACCTCCTATAACTGGAACTTTTAATGCATAACACAGTATAAAATTAGTACATAAATATATCCCAATGATTGTAGCCTTGTTGGTTCCAGGATATTAGCGAGACAAGGTGGGTGAGGTATAATCTTTTATTGGACCAACTTCTGTTGGTGAGAGAGAGAAGCTTTTGAGCTACACAGAGCTCTTCCTCAGGTTTAGAAAAGATATTCAGTGTCACATCTAAATACAAGGTCAAACAGATAGTGTAGCATAAGTAGTTAGCACATATTCTAAGGTATCTTTCAAGGTGAAGTGGCCTGTTAACACCTGTCTCTTTGGAGTCACCAGGGTGATGCTCTGGAACTATTCCATACAAAGCCAGTCAGGACACTGGGGGAGCTGCCTCCTCTCTCTGAGCATACTGTCTCCAGGGCAAGAAGCTTACACAGCTTCGACCTTCCTGGATCTGACCTTGGAGCATTCAGCATTCGCAGTGAGTCTGCCCCACTACGTCACAACGCCCCTGGAGTCATAAGACAAACAGGGGGTTTAGTGGGTTGCAGATTGTTGTCATAAGTCATAAATTCAGTGACTTTATTAAGACCATGATTGTTAGGGTCTAGCAAAGTTATGAATTTAAGCTCCCAGGCACATCTTTTGAAAGTGTTGTGCAGGTTTCCTTTGTGGATGAGGACTGATAGAGAGATCGCTTTGTGAAAAGTGTTCAGCCACAGGTGATACGATGTTTTTCTCTTTTATCATTTTCCTGTGTGAGTTCATTCAAGACTCTCCTGATTGCCTTTCTGGTTTTACCCACGGAGTAGTTATTGGGACATATAGTGCACTGGATGAGGTACACCACACGTTGTGATCGGTATCTGTAGGAACCATAGGTCTTGAAAGGTGCGATATGTGGGGTGTTGATCATAGTAGCAGTGGAGATATGTCTTCAGGTTTTGCATCTGTTGTTTTGGCAGGGTGTTGTGACACTTTGAGTTAGTGTGTTCCTCAGAATACCATCTTTGCTACCATAGACATCATTTCCCTAGATACCAGAATCCCTAACAATGACGGCATGGGTGCCTGTTTCAAATATTTACAAGACAATGGACAGTCCTTAGATACCTACCCAAAAACACATGCCAAACTCATCTATTTTACATTCAACAACAAACACTGCGTCAAACTGCCATAGGTACTAGGATGGCTCCTGAATATACCAACCTCTTCATAGGCCACCTTGAAGAAGAATTACTGCAGAAATGCACCACAAAACCAATGATGCACCTGAGATTCAATATTTTCATCCTCTGTACAGACGACTTAAGCTCACTCATAGATTCCTCCACAACTTCAGCAACCACAGCCCATCCAAACTCTCTCTGGAACACTCCCACACTAGTATCAACTTGCTGGACACCATGATCAGTTTCAACTATAGAACTCTACAGATAACTACATACAAGAAACTCACAGATCACCACACTTACCTTCATATATCTGTTAACCACCCCAAACAAATGAAGAAATCTGTTATCTCTATCCAGCCACGCAAATACCACAGAATATGCTCTAAGGAGGAAGTCTGGGATATACACCTTAACATACTCAAAATCGCCTTCACCCAACAAAGACATTCCACCAGAGAAGTAGATCACATTATGTAATGGGCCACCCAGATACCCCAAGAGAACCTACTTCAGTACAGAAATAAATCCTTCCCTCCCTCCCACCTCCCAACCGCACACCCGTAGTTGTCACCTGCCACTCCACACTGGAACCCATATGGGGTATTATCGAACAACTCCAGTCCATACTCAATGGGGACCCCATCCTGAACAAAATCTTTCCTGAACCACCTCTTCTGGCCTTCAAACAACCTGCCAACCTCTCCAAATTCATCAGAAGCAAGTTCCTCACAGACCAGGACACACCAACTCAAAGTGGCACCAGATCTTGCCAAAGCAACAGATGCAAAACCTGAAGACATATCTCCACTGCTACAATGATCCACCTCTGCCACATCACACCTTTCAAGATCCATGGGTCCTACATATGCCTATCACAACATGTGGAGTACCTCATCCAGTGCACTAAATGCTCCAATAGCAAGTATATGGATGAAACCAGACAATCACTGTGCTCTCGAATGAACTTACACAGGAAAATGATAAAAGAGAAAAACACTGTATCACCTGTGGCTGAACACTTTTCACAAAGCAATCTCTATATCTGACCTATCAGTCCTCA